CTTACCCTTATGAGAACTTTCATGTCCTGATTGGAGCAGATGGGACCTCCACCTAAAGATCTCATCACAAAACCCCCATCAAATGATACTTAACTAATTTACTTCTAAAGAAAAAAAGGAAATAATCACAACAAAACATAAGCCTGTGGTTTCAGGAAAACAAGCTCCTTCAGACTGTGTCATGGAGGTGCCCAAGCTGCTCTTTTTTTTAATGTTTGTGCCTTGACTTTATCACCACTAAGGAAAACCATAAAGATCCTTCTTTATGGTCAGTTGGCACCTGATGTTGAAAATTTGAAAGTAGTTATTAAAACAAAAGTTAGTTACCTGCATTGACAAAGGGGATCCCATCATATGGGACATACTGAGATTTCCACATCAACCGTGTGGCGGGTTTGGCTGGGCTCGGAGACTGGCGCGTCCCCCACACACTTTGTGTTTGCTGCTTGTGTAGCGTTAGAACGCTCTCTAATTCTGTCTCGCTCACACAATAGCCGCGGTACGAGTCCCCAATTTTCTGCATGGAAAGGAGGTGAAATAATAGGATTATTCACCCAGCTGACTGCCGAACATTACACAAGAAAACAAAAGCAGTCAGGGACTCTGACAGGTGAGGACACAGGCTCAGATTTTTGGCATTCTGTGCTTTTTTCCCCACACTAGTATCCTCACGAATAGATTTACCATAGGATCTAACACCAGAGCAGTCTCCACTGAGGTGAGGTGTTTGTCAGCCCTCCAAGACCCTAAGCACACCAAGAACCCCTGAAAAGACTGCAGTTACTGCCAACTCTGATTTCCATAGGACAACTTCGCTCCTGCTGTTTCCCCCAACACACACTTCAGTTGCAGTCACCTCCTAGACAAATTTGTCTCAGGCAAACACTTTCACTTGACTCCCACAGAGAATCTCTGAAGCACTAAAAATTGTCTATCTACTTCAACACACACACATGCTGCACTGAGCTGGAGCAGAATACACCTGCTTATACCACCAGTAACTGCCTCACCCACTTAGTGCACTAACTTCGAATTGAATGTCTCACATAATATGCCTCCCAATCTTCAAGGCACTTTTGATTCTCAACACTACACAGAAACATAATATACCAGATTTGACATGTGTAAGCTGATGACAGTTTCAATGAACTCTGCTAAGTTCTGGGCAACTCCAGGAAAACTGCATATAACCTGACTCAAAGTAAAAAAACAAAAAACCAAAACAAACACAAACAAACGAAAAAACCCAAACCAAAACAAAAAACGCCCAAAACCCTCCACAAACAACTTGCTGACTTTGCAACATCCCCTGTGACAGCTGTTCAGCTATTCAGAGCCATCACAGCTGGTTCAGTGCTGGTTTACCAGGGCCAGCCAGCAAGCAGCGAAAGCAACGGGACAGAGAAGAGCTTTCCATCCGAATTCAGAATGCCATGCCCACTTCTGTTCTTATGCAGCTCAGGATCAGGCTGACCAAGCAGCTGGAAGTAACACCCAGAGTACTTTGCGAGCTCAGTATTACAGCATATCTGTGGGGCAAACGCATAGTGAATGAGTACTAAAGTCTGACGGATCTATTTTGCCACCTTCAGTGACAGAGCAGCCAGATGTTTAAATGATACCAACAAAAAAAGCAGCAAGTGTCTCCAAGATTATTATGACACAAATAGTTTAGTGACAACTGCATAAAATCTGAATCATAGTCGCCTAAGAAAAGCAAGATATCTGTGGTTAGCAAGATCTGAAGTCAACAAAGAACAAATGAACACCTTGTGAATGAGCTGGGCCACCGGCAGCACAGCGTTGCTGCTAGCGCAAGCCCAAAAGCAGAGGGTTATGTGTGCATCGGTCGCATGAATCACTCTGAGATAACAGTTGCTTACGCTTCAGGAGCTCACTGCACTGCCAGCACACTGCTCCAGCAGTTAAGTCTGCATCGGCTGCACTCACACAGCTGCAGCGAGAAAGAGAAGTTGGCAACTGTTTAGCCAGAAATTATAAATAACATTTCTGTCCAAAACTTGATCTGAAGAATCCAGGAGAAGCAAAGCAGCCTGAGAAGCACCAGAAGTACCTTCTTCACGGAAACCTGGGATGCTACTTTTCGCAAGAGGGATTACAGTACCACTCCACAGTGAATACTGCGTGACCAGCGTTTTTCTTTCCATATCTCCTACCTGTCACTATAAATAGGTCATCAACCTTATCCTAGGGAGATGAGAAGACTAATAAAACTGTTGTGCCAGAAAAGTAGCAATAACAGCTAAGGCACTGTCTCCTATTCTGGTTTTACTTCTGCACAAGACAGATTATTTTCGAAAAATTGGTGGGAGCAGAGGAAGAAAAGAAAAATCATACAGCACATACAATTTCTGCTCTTTAGGAGCTTCCCAAGTAGGAACAAATGGAAAAATGAGACCATCTGCTCCACACAAATAAATGAACTTAGCTTTGTACAGTTGATTAATTAATGCAGTTTTTAATTACACTCTATTTCAGTATGGTGATACATGCTGGAAATGCATTCTGATCAGACTGCTGAAAACTAAATAGGCTATAGACAATAAAAAGTGGATTAAAAAAAAAGTTATTAACATGTAATTGCCTTGGAGAGTATCAGATTACTTAAATCTTTTAACTCCAGACAAGCTTCAAGCCAAAAAAAGGAGCAATTTCTTTTCGCCCCTCTGGCTTCATCTCAGCAAGGGTACATAAAAGCTTACTCGAAAGTACACACATTGAGTCTGCAGTTTTCCTTGAGTGAACAAACAGCAGCAGGATACCAGAGGCGTTACACTGTCTAGGCACAGCAAGTGTAAGCTGAACATTTCAAGGCAGTCAGGGAATCAACACCAAACACAGAGCTTAGTGCTAACTTTGGTCAGCTGCAGCTTTTACAGCTCTGCATTTGCCTGCAGTACTAAACGCCGAAGGTGTCATTGCTCTTTCAGGTTCAGTCCTGGCCAGCTCCCTGGGATACATGACCGGCAGCATGTACTCAGGCTATGCCACCACTTCATCTGCCAGCATCTCCTGTGAAATTCACACCCCCCCCTCAATGCTGTTTAAGTTCGTTTCTATTCTGGCAAGTGACTGAAAGAGTGGAATTGCGAGTGCCATATTCATCTGCCCCTCTAATAGATTTCCAAATTTCAGTTGGACCCTTCAACCCTGTCACTGGTAACAAAACATTTTGCAAGACAGTCACACCTGCAAGATAAATGACACCTCAAAATCCCACTGCCTCTAGTCCGTGCCCATGAAAAGGCAAGTGCACCCTAGCAGTCTCCAGTGGATTTACACTGTGTAACTGATGAAGTCAGCAAAGCAACTCGGCTGGTAACACACAAGGAGGAAGAGAATTTGCATTATTCCTCCTCGGATGTGCTGACTCTGCAGGGAGAAGAGCAACAAAATAATCTCTTTTTTTAAACGAATGAGGAAGATTAATGCATACAGGCAATAGTTCTGCTGAACAGCAGAGGCAGATGTTTATATCCTCAGAACACAAACAGACAATATTTTGATTTCCTTTTATTTAAAAATAAGAACTCTTCCATAAATGCTGCTGCTATAAATTTTAAACACAGCAGGTGAAATTTCTTGTAATAGAATTAGACAGATGAAGCAGATCATAATAGAAGTCCTCCTATAAAACAAAACCAACAATAAATGATTCAGATAAGCTACATGAATTAGAACAGGGAAGTATGTGCCACATAGTGCTAAAAACACAGCAATAAGGGCTATACGTTTTACCCAACTTTAACAACTAACTGGCCAACTGAATTAAGTGACTTATTCTGTGAAAATGGTATCTCCACCATGGAAGAACTCACGTTATTAATTTTCTGACTTCTTAATGTTTAAGTGGATCGAATAGCGGACATTTGTATGAAATAAAGGGCATAAAAAAGAGGAATAGATTAGTATGTTTAGTTAATTTAAAAATTATTTCTAAGTAGATACAGAAAGAAATTCAATTTCTAAGTCCCTGCAACTGCAATTTCCAGTTACCAGTGGCCAAGCCAATAGTCAAACCCTCAAACAGCATGCATATCTAAAGAGCAGAACCAGCTAGAGACAGTATGGGTTTTTCTTTAAAAGAGCATTAAGAAAAAGTAAAATACACATCTATCAGGAAGAGTCTGGCAGCAGAAAGAAGGAGCAGAAAGAAGCAGAAAGATTCTCTCAAGAATCTTCCCATTTCCCTCCCTTCCTTTTAAATGATTTGTGATGCATTCTCGCTGTTGATAGCACCCCAGTCATCAGGACCATTCTGCAGACATCTAACAATATGCAAATAAGAGAGTTCTGCTTAGGTCAAAAGCCACCACAGGGAATAAAGACAGAGCACTTTTTAACAAAAGAGAAAACAAGCACAGGCAACCATGCCAGCACACTAAAAAAATAAATTTGTGAGAATATCTAAAATAGAAATCCTTAGTAAAACACTGACATCAAGGTGCTCCAAGTCCCAGACTTGACCCTGGTGAGTCACATGGATTTTGATTTCTACATGATGACACAAACTAATATGAACAGTTGCAGACTTAGGCCATACAAAAGCAATTGTATTCTTTAATTAATGGATCACTAAGGGCAACAAAACCCAGTTTGCTCACCAGAAGACAGCACAGCTTGCACTGTAGTTCAAGAGTGAACTCTAACACGGCCCACAACGGCTTTTCCCAGCGCTGTATGACACTGAGATTTCAGAAGCACTTTTTTTTTTAATCCAGGAGCTGTTGATGGCCAGTTATTCTAGCATTCCCAAAAAAAGGAAGGGATTTCACAGCATTTTATGTTTTTAAATATGGTAACAGTACCAGCTAGAAACAGTACTATTTCACAATACCAGGAAGCTTGGTCCCAACTTCCACAACTACAAATTATTCCTTTCATGGAATAGGATCAGTATCGTAGATCTAGATGATAAAAGATCAAGTCAGAATTCTTTGCAGCCCACCTCACAGTTCCTGAGACGGCGCGCCCATGCAGGCGTATTTGGTGGCAATGGCTGGAAAGGGATGGGAAAGGGATCTTCCACTACCCTGAAAAATAAAAAAATATAGTAGCAGTCTATACAGACAACCAGGAAAGCAACAATTTAGTCTAAACTACAGGTAACATCAAATTGGTGTATTATGTATATACATACATACATGTATTATGTATATGCATACAGCATATGATCAAATTATAGCTATTGTATCAACTTGCCTCAAAAACCTGGGGTTCATTTTGCCCATATGGTAATTCATTGTTAAAATAATTCACAGTAAATATAAGTATTTAAAAAAACCAGTTTTGTACATTCCAGAAGACCTCTGAGCATTCAGTATTCTCAGTATTGTTGCTTGACAACAACAGACAAAACATGGTGAAATAGACCAGGTAATTGTCTTGATAATTTTCTTATGTAGACTGCTAAAGATTAAAACCAATATCGACCACTTGATGAATGCTGCACATTTTAGTATATTTTAAATTACTGAAAACCAGCTCCAAGAACTATTTTAAGTAAGTATCTAGTTTCTCCGTTCCCTAAATCCTGGGGCAGAAACAATGCTTACTCAATGTTTATTATTCCAAAACTCAAGTGCATCACCTCCTGTCCATAAAAATATGTTTCCTTTCCAGGATTATTTTTCTAACATGTGCAGACTGTTTTCATAAAATACATTCACAAATTGTTCTTCTTCATTTTAAATGTTTCTTGAATATAATGTGTGCTCTTCCACATCTTGATTTCAAAAGAGCATAAACCAATGCAAAGCCAGCCTGCAGTCCACAAAGAAAACGTCTTCTTTGGGGTTTTTTTGTGGGGTTGTTTTTTTTTTATTGTTGTTGTTTTGGTTGGTTGGTTTGTTTGGTGGTTTTTTGTGGGGTTTTTTTTTTTGGTTTTAAGCAAAAAAGAATTCCAGAGTATTCAGGAATTAAAATAGTAGGCATCACTTAGCATGGGGACAGAATCAGGTGGCTATCAAGAGAAGAAAAACATAACTATTTTAACTTTAGAAACTTTGCTAACCAATCTGCCTGTCTAGTTTTCCACCGAAACACACCATTAGCATCTACTTTCTCACATTTTATCAAAGAAAGCTGAAGAAGTTATCCACAGAACAAAGACTAGGCTCTCCCTGTTAATGCCAACTATTGACATCTCTACTTAAAATATAAATCTCTACAATCAACTCTTCTTGTGGGAGGATGGTTTACACAGGTTTCAATACACTCATACAAGAAACTCTGCTCCTTCCAACTTCAACTTTCCCTGCAGTTCCTTCACTGGATCACATTCAACTCTTGGTTGACAGTATCAGTGTCTACTTGAAGTAATTTCAGTAATTTGTAGTGTTACTTTAAATGCCCGCCTATTGCTCTGGTCAGAATACATCCAACTTTCTCTGGAATACAGGTACTTTAATTGCTTTTTCCAGCACTTTGTCATATACAAAAGCTGCCTGCAAACACAGTTAGCTAGACATAATTCACTAATACTAAGGGTTCATCACCTCCATTCCACGGTAATTTTGTGATAGCCATTGCAAAAACAAACTGCAAGAAAAAAGGGTAGTACCAACAGTGGATCAAAGTGATTGTTCATCCTTTTAACTCCTGACCTACCTGGTGGTTGTTTTTTTCGATACGGTGAGAGATGCCTGCGGATGTAGAATGTAACTGCTTGCACTGTCTGCTATAGCAGCCACCGCCACAGTCTGCAAGTTCCCATCACCACACTTCTCTTCCGAAACATCTTTGCAAAAATAAAACAGCCTTCTGGTTAGTAACTGAAGTCAGAACGCAGAAATGACAAGCTATGATTAAACTCTGTGTGTTGCAAAAGCAAGAATCTTGACATATGAAATAAGATTTCTAGATGATAAAGTAGTTTAATAGTTGTGAATTAACACTCAAACTCTAGGCACACGTACGAAGATACACTTGATAAGGTTGTTTGTACTCAAGGACTTTGGTAATCATGCTACTGCTAATGAATCCTTCAAAAACAAAGCAAATAATCAGAAGAACTTGTAAATTACTCTGCTTTACATTTCCACAAATCCATGCAGGATTGCACAACTATTTTGTTCAGCTGCAAGTCACACACTGGTTGCTTTTAAAGCAAGAAAAAAGGAGATCACGATACTGCTTTGTACTTAGAAAAGAACACCTAAACAAGAAAAAACAGGCCTCCTGTAACTGAATCTGACATGCTGTTAGAACAAATGTTTTATCCTTCCTCGATAACAGGTAGCAAACCATAAGCCAAAAAATACTGTTAGATTGAAGCCTGTGTGTACAGTTAAACAAAAACATAATGGAAAACTGAGAAAGCAGACATTTGGTACTTTGGTCTCAACATAAAGAAAAAGGTGCTCTCTTTTGATGTGGGATTTTTGCCCTTTGATTATGAAAGCTTCTTTTCCCCATCCCAAGAGAGAGTGATAAGCTATTGACTCAGTACAGAAATCACTCCACTAGAAAGCTTATGCCAGAAGATTCGTAAATGTGTACCTCAGAGTAACACCACCCTGGTTCAAAGCTCGGAGCACTTGTTCCTTCTACACAGACGTGCCCTTAAGACACTCGTCTACTCTGAAGCCTGTGCCATTTCATGCTTTACCTCCATGTGCAGGCAAGTGAAACTCAAGGCCTGACAGTCCATTCTCCTTCCCCTTTAATCTCCACAGTAAACCACTGACAAGTCTTCCTAACTGTCTTTTAAAGATCAAATAACTACAAAGTCTTTTCACAGTCAGTCTCTCGAAAACAAACCAACCAACCCACAAAAAACCCTGTAGCACTGTTGTAGAACATGTATTCAAATCCTGTGAAACTGAGATATTTGCAAACAGGGAGCCCCATGCAGGACGAAAAACAGGAATACAAAAGTACTATTCAGTATTGCAATTTATTGCCTACAAAAAGTAGCAGCAGTTCTTTAGTAACTAAAGGCTCACAGTCAGCTTCAAGTCACATCAGACTACACTGTAATCAAACGGTGGTCTTACCCCTGGATTAGCATTAGGGTAGGAGCAAGCCTTTCAATGCAAGGTCATGAAATCATATTCCAACCGTAACTAAAAAAGGCTGGATCATGACTCGAATCCCAACCCTGTTTTCTATCCGCCCAGTATCAGGACTCTAGTCTTACCACTGAGCTCTCATTCCACAGCAGCACTTAACTAGTGCTCAGGTTTTGAGACTTTGCTCAGATTTTGAGAATTTTATACAAAAAACCTAAAAAACACTTTAAAAAACCTTGGAGAGTTTAACAAAATGTGACAACCTAGTTCTCGGTCTTATTCTGTGAATGCAAACTATTACACAGCATTTCACCATCCAGCAAGGCTTGCAGGCAAATAATCAATGCTTTCAGATTTCAGTATGTCCCTTTTCTGGAGAAAAGCTTAGAATTTGCGCTTCTAGTTGTGCATCTCGTCACATACTTAAAATGTGACAATTAAAACACTGAGGGAAAAAACTTAGCAATGAAGTGAAAGTTATCTCTCTTTTTTTCCTCTGGGAGCTGAATCTCTATCTAGGTACTTCATTCCTGACTTCACAAAAGATGCATCATCACCAGTGATCTCTGGAACAGACCAGAAGAACATTAATTCTTCTATCTGCATTACATGAAATAACTAGTTCACTCAAAATGAGTAAGAAATAGTGAAAATTTGAAGCTGATAGTACAGCTGTCTGACTTGGCACAAATATCCTTACTAATGGCAAAGAAGGCAAGAAGCAGCTATGTGCTCGATATCTCAATCTATCCATCCCATATCTAAAGCGAGCATAATAGCTCTTATTTCATAAGGCTTTCACCCAAGAGAAAATGTGGAGTGTGGGGTGCCAGATTCAAAATCAGAAAGTAGATTCAGTAAGTATGTATTTTTGTCTTATGACCAACTAAGGAAAGGTGCTTAAAAAGAGATCATGCAAGATATGCTTAGTCACAGGAATACACACCCTCAAGTCCCACAGGTTAAACTTACCCTGCATGCTGGTCACATCCAGAAGCTGACCCTGAGGAATAATCACTTGGGCCATTCCTGGCTGGGCAGATGGAATGACATGCAGCACCTGTCCATTTTCTGACTGGCTGGCAACAATCATCTGTAAGGCATGAACACACAAAAGCATGAACGGCACTAGTTTGTGTGGTGATCATCATGCAGCATGACCGTGTTTGCTTATTACCAGAAAAGGAAATATTTTGGTTTGAATTAGGGCCTGTAAATTAACTTCATTTCACACAATGAGGAAACCGCCTATTTACTGTCAATTTCTTAAAATTACTTTCCCCCTTTTAAAATAGCCCTTTAATTGATTAAGGAAAAAAACCCCCAAATTTACAGGATTCTACAATGAATTACATATTTATTTGAAACTTACAACACTATTAGTAAAGCTATCAAAAACCTGAAAGCCATTCATAGTTGGATTCACTGTAACCCCATTCATGGACTAGTAGCATTAGTCATAACAAAAATTTTGACGTTTACTCCTAAGAAACTCACCTCTATGGGCAGCATTTTATGCAAAAGCAGATAGGAGAAAAGCTCCAGGACTTAAAAAAACCCCACAAATTAAATCTCCTAGAATTCTGGAAAACTTAAACAACTCCTTCTGGTATATTTTCCCATAATTACCAAGGACTTGTTCCCAACAATGTTATAAAACCTAGAATAACATAAAATACCATCTTGTTTCTGAATTATTATACTTTAAATGGGTGAAGGGTCTTTAGTGACAGTACAACACATGCCAACTAAAACCTCTAGGTGAGAGTGTTACCCTTTTACAAAATAAGTGTTAAGAATTACAGAGCAATATTTTAAGCAAATTAATTGGCGGGGGGGAAGGAGAGACATAATGGGTTGGTTTATTGCTAATGTTCCAGTTCCCCCAAAAAAACACAGAGAGACTTATCCAGGGAATACAGAGAAAACAGCAGTGGTAGAAGTATGAGATCTCATCACACAGTAACATCCAGGCTTGATAAGGACAAAAGACATAAGTTGCTGTTTAATACAACTAGTAACGGCTGGAGCCAGGATTTGGCTACCTGAGGAAGGGTAACTGGAACATGAAATGAATCACTGAAAAGCTTCACCTTGCTGCTAGAGATAAAGTCTGAATCAGCTGTTGTTACAACAAACAACCACCATGTAAAAGAGTTCTTCAAGGAGCTCCCTCCTCTGTGAATACACCACCTGCCCTGTTTCATGCACACTCACCATGGACGCGCTGGGCGCTCCTAGGGGCTGCAGCTCATAGAGAGGCTGTCTGGTTTGGTCTACCAGGTGGAAGTCCTCTGCAGAGTGAGGCTGCGGCTGCGGTGGCCGCGCGGGCGCAGCTGATGATGGAGAACTGCCCAAGAGGCGTACTGCGATGGGCAAGGCTGAGGGAGAGTCACTCTGTCCAAACAATGGATCCCTGGAATCCATGCAGGTTAGATGCTTTCACAAGAGGAAAAACAGCAAAACGTACTTTAACAGTGAGCAGCAATCTCTATTTAAAAAAAAAAAGAAAGAGAGAGAGAAAGAAAAGAACATTTAAAACCAGTGTGCTGTATAGTATACTCATAGGGAGCTCCTGTCCTTCTGATCAAGAGGCTACTAGCTAACACTAGCAGTTCTACTTTTGTTTTCCATTTCCATGCTGAAAATGAATTCATATTTCTGCTTCCTACAACAAACTCTCTCTACTAAGGGGAAACAAAATCCCTTACGCCCAAAATCTGCTCCCCAAACCACTCATCACTTTAAAACATCTCAAGTCTACTCAGAAACTGAGAAAACTTATACCAAAACCAAACATCCACCAACTTGATTTGACTTCAAAAGAAATCCTAGATACTACTCCACTCAGCCTTTAGATACATGCATTTAGCTATGAAGATAAAAATCTCTATACATTTTCTTAATTCTCTACCACAGAAGAAACAAGTATCTCTCTTGTTGAAACTCTGACAATACAAATATTAAACATGTAAAAATAATGGAAAAGAGGCAGTGCTTGTGTAAAATATCACATCAGGCTGCCATCTGGCCAATGCAAAATGAGTGCAATTTATTGTATCCCTTGCAGTAATCTCACAAACAACTCTGACATTTCTGCTACAAAAATCTGTAAAGTACAAATCCAAAGAGTATGGAAAAATGTTTCTAAATTTTAATATTAAGTCAGACTATTCTGCAGGTATAAATCTTCTGTGCTGAAACTGTGTACTGTAAACTACATCAGAAAAGCAGCAAGAAATAAATTGCACTAGTTGTGTTAAAGACACTGTGCAGAGACCATAAGCACACTATTAAATCACTACCTGAATGATATTTTACGTTAGCTGAAGTAATCTGCAGAACGTTTATACACAGAAATCTCTCTGACTAGGAATATCTGGCAATATTTGATAATAAATACATTAAAGACTCCCCTTCCCCAACACCTACACAGATGTCCTGTGTCCCTCGACTCTTATTTGCCACATTTGGTCACTAAGCAATTTGACCTGATTTTCAAGTGTTCTGAACCCCTCCTACTTCAAGGTATGTCATCAAGTATTCTTTTATTAAAGGATTTTGTTAACACAATAAAACATATATTTCTTCAGCACTGTAACAGGATCTATTAATATAACTACTAAAGGTTGTCAGTACATGTGACATCTGGATGTTCACCAGTTCAAAACTGAACGTTTTGAACAAGAATCCAAGAGAAGGAACTTTTGTACTTTTTTAAGATACAATGTATTACTATAAAGGTAAGAAAAAACACATTGATGAAATATCATACTGTAAATTTATCAGAGAGGATACAAAGAAAGCATCTACACAGACAAGACATTCATATCTCACCTGAAAAACCCAATCATTTGTTTCTGACTCTCCTGTACCATTACAATTGACTATGAACAAATCATTAAATCGTTCCATAGCAATGTCATGGTCAGCTCCATTTTCTTCCATTATAAGATGACCTGAAAAAGTTACAAAAGTTTATTTCAGTCTTCTGTATAGTAGCCTCAACCAAGACATTGCTGCAGCGTTTCTATTTTTGGTCTTACAAATTTAGTCTTACAAGTTCTAACACTGCTGCAAGCCAACAGCAAAGTCCTCACGAAATGCTTGTCTCTTTATCACTTTATTACTCACTGCAGAAAAATTCCAGTGTGTTGCTCCAGGAGTACGGTTTAGCCTCTTGTATAAGACACTTGGCTCGACTTGTCATTGCACACACAGATACAAAACACACATACACTCATGATTTTCATCTAAATATGTCCACAAGCACTCAACTAATAACAATACACATCTAGAGAACACTTGGTATTTAAAGATACGCCAGCACTGCTTTACAAAAATATTAGTCATCTACTTCCTTAATGAACAGACAGGATTTGTGTTACCCAACCCTGTCATGCAGCCATCTTGAAGTAAATTACATTTGTTTTAAATGGTTATAAAACAATACATAAATGAAATAAAATTACTATTCCTAGTCTATAGCAGTAAGCTTTGGGTGGGAAAAATGCCACGTACGTGAAACAAACTTTGGTATTAATCATGTGATGAAAGACAAAAAGACCGAGCTCCTGGCACTTCGGAGATCTGCCTCCTACCCCAAAGAAAAGTAATTCAAGGAGCTCAGCTGCCCACTGTAAACCTTCAAGCAAATAAAGAATATTGGACAGTGAATTGCCACATCCACTGAATAATGCTCTCACCCAGACAGTACACCCTTTAAAGCAGTGACCAATCCCAAATATTCATAAGCAACAAGACAAAATGACAAATTAACTTGGCCCTTGTGTTACCAGAGTACATATAGACTGGACTACACACATAATATGCCAAACTGAATAGAAGAAAACTTAATTCCTGCAGTTGGGGGTGAGGGAGAGTGGTTGGGGGTGAGGGCAGGTGAAAGGTGTTCAGGACTTTTCCCTTCGGTATTTACTTTAAAGACAGGCAGCATTATGTTAGCACATGACTCCTACCAGCTTTATCTTCTTCACCAGTGCACACAGTAAATTCCTTGAGATGGACCTTCTCGGCTGTGATATTTCAATCGTTTACAGCTTTACTAAGGAGAATGTAAAAGGCTAGAGAGTCGCTTGAAAAGAACTGGACAACCCTGGAAGTGCAAATTTATTTTGCTTTGCAAAGATATAAAGGACCACAAGCAAAGTAAATCCACATCTCCTTGGCTTCTGAAGCTGAATAAAGCATCCTGCTGATAGGAACAACATTGTGAAGTTAAGCTGCTCATATGCTCAATATATTAAACACCTTAATCTAAAGCAGATTTATTTTTCCATTCAATTTTCAAGTGATGACACTCCAAACCAAGTTCCAAATGAAGTTCTCATGTTTACCAAATAGCTTGTAGCTTTGGCTCTGAGAACAATTACAAGATGTTTCAGTTAAAATGTCTGAAGCATGTTAGCAGCAAATGAAAAAAAGACAGAAAACTAGATTCCATCATCACTCAACCATTTCCCCTCAGTTAGAAGATGTAAAGAAGATATCCAGTTTTACCAAAGCAGCACATTTAGTTCTTTGAGATAAACTGAAGAAGTTTGTTCCAGAGATACCGATGTCACATACCCTGAGCATGTTGGTAACCAACTACAGAACAGAAGGATGGCTGTATCAGGATGGACCGACACCCCAAGGAGCCCAGTACCCTGTATCTAACACTGGTTAATAATAGAGTTCAGAAAAATAAAGGACAGCAGCAGGGTAAACATACAGTGATGTTTATCCAGCTTCCTCTTATAAGCAGCCCAGAAGTATCTAAAGTTTTATCTTTGTGTTTAAAAAATCCTCGTGGCACATTTTTGCCCTGTGACTTTGTCTAATCACTGTTCTAACCCCGGAAAATCATTGGCACACACATCACCTCAGACAATGAACTTCATGGTTTAACCGTCTAGGTATCATTAACCTAAGTGCTGTGCAACCCCAAACAAAAAAAAGATATTTTTTTTTTTGTCTTAAAGAAATATACTTTTACAGATACTTTCAAGTACCTACATAGTTAAGAAACATCATAGTTGTATAAATATTGCTAACAAATTCCCCAAACAAGACAGTTAAATCCTGAATACATATATATGTATGAATAATTTGTCAGGAACGAGTAAATAACGTACAAGTATCTCTTCTTTTCATAAACACTTTACCTAAGTGCCACAAAAATTCCCAATGTAACACCATTGTATCCCACATTTAACAACAGGTTGAAGGAGAAATGTGGGAGTTCAGTGTCAGTATAAAACGGGATCAACAGCTGTATCCTCAGTGCACACATCAACCAGGCAGCTCTCCGTGCCTCAGCTTTAGCCTTAACACAGCTCCACACAAACCCCTCCACAGGCTGCTCTCGGTGAAGTACACCACTCCAAGGCCATTTCCAACTCAAAGGGTCGCGCATTTTAACGCCACAGGACTGCTTCCTTCGCCCTGCCTCCTCTTAGGAAGCACTTTGCTCAAACTAAAGGGAAATCTATGGCCGTTGCTATCCTTGGTTCAACTCTAGAAAGAGAGCAAGCAGCCACAGAAACTGCTAGCACAGGCAAACATGAAAACCATCATAAGCATTTTATGCAGGGTCTTACAGACAGGATCTTCAAGAGAGCAAACATTATGCACTGCCATCTAGCCTACACATAACCATCAGCGGTTCAATTCCAAAGACAAACACACCGACAGTTCGAGATCATTTAGCAAAATGCAAAAGGCGGTCAGATTTCGATTCACTTAGCCACCAAGAACTCCCATAAGACAGCTGTCAAAGCCAGGGGCACCTCTTGCATACGCCAGGTTCTCACTGACTGTTATCCACAGACAGAACTTGTATAACATCAGGAACAGGATTTCAATGCCCACTCCGAGGTGAACCTTTCTCATAACAGTTGCAATCTCCTCTCTAATCCAGAAGCCCACATACCAATGCTTAATATATAAACTTCTAAAGACACTAACAGAAAAGTCAGACTAGCATTACTTTAAAATCCCATTATTGACCAGTCACACCTCTGCCCTGCCTTAAGGCAGGGTATTAGATTTCTGTATTTTCTTGCCTCTGATTTTTTATTCTATGGTAATACCTATACTTACCAACTACAAGCAGTAGTCCCTAAAAATACAGCAGTTCTAGACTGAGAATATTTTAAGGCCTCTTATGAACACTTGCTTCTGCCTTCCCTCAGTTATGAGGCCTCCTTGTGAAGGCAACATGCAGCCAGATCCCAAAGGGAAGTACGGTCTTTCAAAATCCCAGAGTTAATTATTTTAAAACTGAGTCAATATTGCAAGATTTTAGACACAAGAAGAAACCTAAACTGTAAAAAAAACAGATAAATCCATGGTGATAAAAAGCACATTCTACCTAGGAGTATTCTGTTAGGGCAAGAAGGAGGGAATTCTCTTTATACTTTTCAAGCTTCAAGTCTTCAATGCATACCCATTTAAAAAAAAGTAAATGAAAGCTTGACAGTGCAAGTTCATGTTTTCAGCACTTCTGACAGCAGTATTTCCCATTCCAGTTTTAATTTGTACTTCCTGACAGGAAATACATACAGTTGAATGCCTCACCAACAATCATTTTTGGGTTTTCCATGAAACGTTTCAGAGATTTTATAAAAAGACTTCAGATAATTGCATAGCTTACAACAGTTAAACACTCTCTCTGAAAAAGCTACCTCTGATGACATTTCTTTGCCACCATTATTAAGGGCAAGAATTGCAGTAAAACATAACAGGGAGGAAATTAGGGCATAGTCATACCCTCAAGTAAACAAGTTACAATTCGCTTTGTATTAACTTGTACCAGGTTTCAGATTTAGCTTATCTCTGTCACGGAAGAGCAGGCAGACGCTGTTAAGAATGCACAGAAGATCTGGGGACTCCTACTTAAAAGGTTTCTCGAGTCACTTTTGTGTAGTTAACACACCTATCTGGAAAATGCACCCGTGTCTATTACATTGACAAACAATGACAAATCTTTTAAGTATACTTAAGAAACAGATGAGATTTCAGAGTCTCACAAAACATCAAGACTCAACATCTGCCCCACTCCAACAAGTTGCCCCAACCTGAGCCACCACACAGGGAAAGCTCAACCGTTCCCCAAGAGGCTACAAGCAACAGTCAAAAAGGCAGGGGGGAAAAAAACCAAACAAACACCAGATAAACCAGGCACTCAGCAGGTACTCACACAAGCAGCCTTCTCCCAAAAAAGTAAATTCGCTTAAAGCTTCTTTTAAAGTCCATTGCGTGTTGGGTTTATTACTTTTCGTAGGAAGTTTATTGATGGGTTACTTTACATGCGAAGAAACACAACCCAAGTTACACCACGAAGACAGCAGCAGCGAACGGTCACACACGCCAGTTCGCCGGTTCCAGCAACGCCGCAGCCCCACACGGGGAAACCTCTCACCGCCACGGCCAAGGGGA